AGGATAAACACAAGACTCGAATAACAGAGGATAAACACAAGACTCAAATAACAGAGGATAAACACAAGACTCAAATAACAGAGGGTAAACACAAGACTCAAATAACAGAGGATAAACACAAGACTCAAATAACAGAGGATAAACACAAGACTCAAATAACAGAGGATAAACACAAGACTCGAATAACAGAGGATAAACACAAGACTCAAATAACAGAGGATAAACACAAGACTCAAATAACAGAGGATAAACACAAGACTCGAATAACAGAGGATAAACACAAGACTCGAATAACAGAGGATAAACACCACGAGACAGGGAAGCAACTTTAGAAACGCAGCCCCACAAATGATGCTCACGGGCTCCCTCAATCCGCGTAGTATTAAAGATAGCAAATCACACTTTCGAGACTCCTCGCACTGTTTTTCTAGAGGCGCACAGAAGTGCAGAAATTCAGCAAAGTCCACTCTGGGAGGACTTGGCACCAGCAAGATCTTTCAACTTAGGGGAATTTCTTCATAAGATTCCTCTCGGAGATTGGCCTCCAGGATATTCCACTAGGGATACGAGGCCCCTCTTTTGCTTAGACATCAAATAATATTCCCCTAAGCCACTGCAGAATGTTAGACATCAAATAATATTCCCCTAAGCCACTGCAGAGTGTTAGACATCAAATAATATTCCCCTAAGCCACTGCAGAGTGTTAGACATCAAATAATATTCCCCTAAGCCACTGCAGAGTGTTCCGAGAGCTGGCAGCCCGTTTGACCAGCTAGCTACTCTTTTCGCGAAAAGGATATCGAGGCTTTTATTTTTCAGGAGAAGGTCTTTTGAGTCAGAGAGCCCGGGCCTCAAAAGCTGCAGTTTGTTTGTTGCAGCAACTCTGAGATAAAAAGAGCCATTTGTGCGGCCCCACAAGTGCCATTTAAGCCCCAAAGTGGTTTTTTGAATTCCAAAATAATTTTCCAACAAATCTACAAACCCTAGTCTTCTTCTCCGCAGAGGTTTCTGTAGCTGAACAGTTCCTGTGGGCCTCCGTCTCAGCTTTTAAAAACTTCTGGAGGCTTTTTGTTTTGAACTGAACTTCAAAAGTGCTGATGAACACCCAAGCCCGGCCTGCACAGCAGCAGAACAAACAGCTTTGCTGCATGCGGTGCAGAAAGCCCTGTGGGGCTTTATGTGACAGCTAAGCTGCTGCAGCAGCAGCAGCAGCAGCAGCAGCAGCAGGGGCGGCGGCTGCAGCAGGAGGATGGCAGCAGCGGGCAGCGCAGAACTCTCCACAGAGCTCTCTGCGCTGCATGCAGCAAAACTGCTGTTCTTCGGGCAGCTGCTGCTGCTGCAGCTGCTGCTGCTGCAGCAGCTGCTGCTGCAGCAGCTCAGCTTTCCCGATTAGAAGCATTTCACGGAACTCGGATTATATTTTAAACTTCTGAACTTTCTGCAATAAATGCCATTTAATGCAGCTTCTAAACTAAAAGCTGCACAGCTGCAACTAACAGCACCAAAACCAAAACTGTTGAACAAAAAGCTGCGGCTTTCAAGGGCTGTAGTGAAAGCCCCAGAAGTGTCTTAGCGGGAAAGCAAGAGCTGCAGCTTCTGCTGCCCGTTTGCCGCAGCACAAGAAGGGGTTTCAGGAGGGTTTAAGAGGGTTTAGGAGGGTTTAAGAGGGTTTAGGAGGGTTTAAGAGGGTTTAAGAGGGTTTAGGAGGGTTTAAGAGGGTTTAGGAGGGTTTAAGAGGGTTTAGGAGGGTTTAGGAGGGTTTAGGAGGGTTTAAGAGGGTTTAGGAGGGTTTAAGAGGGTTTAAGAGGGTTTAGGAGGGTTTGGGAGGGTTTAAGAGGGTTTAGGAGGGTTTAGGAGGGTTTAAGAGGGTTTAGGAGGGTTTAGGAGGGTTTAGGAGGGTTTAGGAGGGTCTAGGAGGGTTTGGGGCTGCATGCAGCACTCAGACTCTGCAGCTGTTAGCCCCCATATTGGTTTCTTGAGTGAGTCTTTAAGCCTTCTTTGCTGCACACCGAAGACCCCCAGGGGCCCCCTGGGGCCCCCCGAGGCACTGCAGCAGCAGCAAATTGCGACTAAGTTTCTGAAAAGCTGCTTTACGCAGCTCTTTGAGCAGCAGCAGCAGCAGCCCACGGGCGCTGCTGCTGCAGGCTGCTGCTGGCAAAGTGCAGCGCAGCACTTGCAGTTCATTTGGAGGCTGAGGACCAGCCAGGGCTTCTGCTGCTGCTGCTGCTGCTGCTGCTGCTGCTGCTAAGCCCCCTATTTGCTGCTATTTATGCTAGGGTTTCGAGGAGCTTTTAAGGAATGTGTTGCTTTTGCTGCTTTGCCGGCGCAGAGGCGAACGGCTTTTGGGTGTGCTGCTGCAGCAGCTGACCTTCTGCTGCTCTGCCAACAGCAGCTGCGCGGGGTCTTTGCTGCTTTCAGCAAGCTGCAGCAGCAGCAGCACGGAAGGCCCCCCCAGCTGAAGTTAAGGACCTCTGGGGCCCTGTTGCTGGCTGAGGTGCTTGGGGAGTTGAGTGCTGCTGCTGCGGCTGCTGCTGCAGCTCCGCAGGCGCAGCAGCAGCTGCTGCAGCTGGCGGCAGCAAGCGCCGCGGTGGTTCTCTTGGGTTCCTGCTGCGCAACAGCAGCTAAGAACGCATGCAGGTGGCTGCTACTGCGTCGCTAAGTGCTGCAGCAGCAGAGGCGCCGCAGGCAGCGCCGTCGCAGCAGCAGCAGCCAGGTTGCGCCGGTGTGCAGCGGGAAACTGCGCGTCTTTGCTGATGATCTAGGGGGTAAAAGCAGCAATAATGAACAATAAAAGATAAATAAAAACGAAAAACCTTTTAAAACATCAAGTGGTTGCGCCGGCGAGCTGCACAGCCCAGCCGTGATCAAGGAAGTATCGACGGCGGATCAAGACGGGCGCGCCAGCAGAGGTTATCTGCATTCAATTTGCGTCGTTTCTTTTTCTTTTTCGAGTTTCTGGGTTTCTGCTTTGTTGTTTTTTGTTTTAAAATGCAAAAAGGGATTTTTTCGGGGGTTTTAGAGCCCAAAACGGCGCGGAAACAACTGAGTTCGCACTAGACCTTGAGGGGTATAAGGTTTCTGCTGAACACCATAGACGCACTGCTGCTCCCTGTTGCTGCAGCAGCGCAGCAGCAGCAGCAACTCGTTTGCTGCAGCAACAGCAGTTGCACGTCAGTTGGGTACTGTGAATTTGTGTGCAGGCAAAGTGCAGCATTGTAGGGCATCTTTGTTGCGCCGCCGCTGCTGCCGCTGCTGCTGCTGCCGCTGCTGCTGCTGCTGCTGCTGCTGCTGCCTCTCTCACCGTGGGCACAGAGCTTGTCCTCAACCTGCAGGCGCTGCAGCGCGCCGCATCATTTGTTTTTTTGCGAATTTCTGAATTTGGGAGTTTTTATTTCTTTTAAATAAACACTGTTTTTTCTTAAAAGCCGCCTGGCGGCCAGTGACACCTGCTGTGCTGCTGCGGTCTGCTGCAGCTCCACCAGCGTCGCGCACGGGAGCCTCTGCCGTTTCTTCGGGTTATTCATTTTAATTTTCGACGCAAACTTTTCTTTTTCTTTTAAACCTATTTGCACTGAGCGGCGGAGCGGGCGTGGGCTCAAAGGAGCGCCTCGCGGCAGCGCAGCAGCAGCAGCAGCAGCAGAGCAGCAGCAGCAGCAGCAGCAGCAGCAGAGCAGCAGCAGTTCTGCAGCAACTCCTGCTCTGCAGCCCCCCAACCAGCCCACAGTCGGGACACCGCAGTTTATGCATGCACCCTCAGCCCCGAGACGCAGCGGGGGCCCTTGCGTGCTGCGCTGCTCTGGGTTAGGGGTCTTTGGAGTTTGCTGCTGCAGCAGCAGCAGCAGCTGCTGCTGCAGCTTTGCGGCTCTGCCGCTGCGCCGCCTCTGGCTGCCTCTTGTCTCCGAGGCCTCCAACGCAGTTTTATAAGATATGCGCAGCAAATAGCTGCTTGTTTTTTAAGACACCGACAGCGTAGCCCCTCCTGCTGCAGCTGCTGCTGCTGCTGCTGCTGCAGCAACGCCTCCCGTTGCTGCAGTTTCTGGACCCGTTGCGCAGCTGCTGCTTTCCGCTGGCCCCGCACGCAGCACCTGCAGCAGCAGCAGCAGCAGCAGCAGCAGCAGCAGCAGCAGCAGCGGGGTATTAGGCGCAGCAGAATTGGCGCTGCTGCTTTGAGGAGCCGCAGGCTGCTGCTGCTGCTGCGAAGCGGAGGCCCTGCAGCAGCAAATGGGAAGGTTTTAAAAGGAGACAAAAGCAAGACAAAAGCTAAAAAAGCCAAAGGAGAAAAAAGAAAAAAGGAGACACAAAGATATCCCCTGATGGCAGATGTAGAGCGAGCGCATGCAGTGGGGGGCAGGCAGCAGCAGCTGCTGCAGCAGCTGCAGCAGCTGCAGCAGCTGCAGCAGCACAGCAGGGACTTGCTGCAGCCCATCCCGTCGCCTGCAGCAGCAGCAGCAGCAGCAGCAGCAGAACTGAAGACTCTCTACGAAAGGGAAACGAGGGATAGGGGAGAAGGCAGAGCTGCAGTCGCCCATTTGCTGCAGCAGGTCACTGCAGCGGAAGCAGCAGCAGCAGCACGGCAGCAGCAGCAGCAGCAGCTGCCTCCTTTTTCCTTCTTCTCCGACGCCGCGCAGCAGCCCCTCGTTTCCAGCCAAAGAAAGAGAAACGCAGGGTAATAATAATTAATAAATAATAATAATAAATAATAATAAATAATATATAATAATAATAATAATTAATAAGAATTAGAACAGTCTAGCAGCAGCAGCAGCAGCAGCAGCAGCAGCAGCAGCAGCAGCATGATCCGTCGTTGCTGCTGGTGGTGCTGGTGGTGGTGCAGATCTGCGGGAATAATGGAGCCAAGCGCGCTGCGTCGCCGCGCCGCCGCAGGCGCCTGCAGCAGCAGCAGCAGCAGCAGCAGCAGCAGCAGCAGCAGCAGCAGCAGCAGCAGCAGCAGCAGTCTGGCGTGCAGCTCTCCCTCTCCGCCGTCTTCGCTGGCGGCTTCCTCCTCGTCCGCAGCGCCGCCGCTGCCCGCGCCCGCAGCAGCAGCAGCAGCAGCAGCAGCAGCAGCAGCAGCAGCAGGTCCTGCTGCAGCAGCGTGCTCGCTGCTGCTGCAGTCGCTGCCCAAGGTCACCGGGGTCTTCTTCGACCGCAGCCAAGAACGCTGGGTGTCTTCAGTTTATTTGGGAGGTCGAAATTTAAAAACTTATTTTCCAGTTTATAAACATGGCTTTCTGGGGGCTCGCCAGCTAGCCATATCGCAGCGGCTGGCTCAAGTGGCTGCTAAGGGCAGCAGCAGCAGCAGCAGCAGCAGCAGCAGCAGCAGCAGCAGCAGCGGCGGCGGCGGGGCGGCGGGGGAGGGCGCGGGCGCGCGCGGCTGGACTCCTGCTGCTGCTGCTGCTGCTGCTGCTGCTGCGGAACGCAGGGATCGGCGCGAGGCGGAGGGCGAACTCCGCGCGCTGCTGCTCGCGCTGCAGCAGGCTGCTGCTGCTGCTGCTGCTGCTGGCGCTGCTGCTGCTGGCAGCGACGCTGCTGCAGACGCAGACGCAAAAACCAAACCAAACCGACACAAAGATGCAGCAGCAAGTAGAAATTGACAAATAAAATTAAATAAATAAATTTAATTAATTAATTAATTAATTAATTAGTTAAATTAATTAAAAGTAGTTGAGATTCGGCGAGGAGTGCTTGTTCTGCTGTATGTACAGCTGCAGTGCTCACAGCTGCTGCAAGTGTCTTTGTCTTTTTCTGCTGCAGCAGCAGCAGCAGCTGCTGCAGCAGCAGGCCCCTGGCACCACTCAGTTAGCTGCGGCTCCACGGAGACGCCGCTGTCCAGCGCTGCTGCTTCGCCCCAGGTTGCTGCTGCTGCTGCTGAGGGTTTGCTGCTGCTGCCGTGCCTGCTGAACGGCCAAGAGAGCAGCAGCAGGAGGCGCGACGAAGAAGCAGCAGCAGCAGCAGCAGCAGCAGCAGAGGCGCACAGCAGCCGCAGCAAACTAGTTGCTGCGCTGCTGGCCCACGCAGCCAACGAGCTGCGGCCATGGGAGCGCGGGGTGGTGTGGGGAGAGAGCAGCTGCACCGCATGCAGCAGCAGCAGCAGCAGCAGCAGCAGCAGCTGCTGCTGCTGCTGCTGCTGCTGGGTAGTCACGGAGCCCAAGGGGAGGCGCAGCAGCCCGCAGGTTTTGGCCCGGATTCCAGTGGGGTTGGCGGAGGGACAGGAGGAGACACTGGAGCGTTTGTGGAGCAGCAGCAGCAAGAGCAGCAGCAGCAGCAGCAGGGGCAGCAGCAGCAGCAGCAGGCTCAGGGACTTGGCCCTCGAGCTCTTCAAAGTCGGCAGAGACAGACTGGAGGCCCAGGAGGAAGAGGAGAGAGAAGCTGCTGAAGACGACAGCAGCAAAACCGAAGGATGCAAAGACGAGCAGCAGCAGCAGCAGCAGCAGCAGCAAGAAGAAGAAGAAGAAGATGGGGAAGCCTGCGTAGAGGCCGACGGGAAGGACACCGCAGAGACACAGCAGCAGCAGCAGCAGCAGCAGCAGCAGCAGAAGCAGGAGGAGGAAGAGGAGCTGGAGGGCATGGCGTCGGACGACGAGTCTGCTGCTCACCCAGCAGCAGCAGCAGCAGCAGCAGCAACAGCAGCAGCAGCAGCAGCAGCAGTGCAAGCAGTGCGGGAGGCCTACAGGTCCGCTGTGGATTTGCTGCGGGACTTTAAGCTGTGTCGGCTGAAAGAAGAGACTCTTCGCCTTGAGCCGGAGCAGCAGCTGCAGCAGCAGCAGCAGGCAGTGCCGCCGCCCAGCAGCAGCAGCAGCAGCCGCAGCAGCAGCAGCCGCTGCGCGTCGGAGCCCGGCAGCAGCAACAGCAGCAGCAGCAACAGCGTGGCTTGCTGCTCGAGCGCGGAGGGCTCTTCGGGTGTCTCTTCCGAAGCTGCTGCTGCTCGTTTGCTGAGCGAGAGCCGTCAGCTGCTGCTGCTGCGCCACCACAACCACCGCAGCAGCAGCAGCAGCAGCAGCAGCAGCAGCAGCAGCAGCCCTGCTGCGCTCTCATCGGCAGCTGCCGCTGCCCCTCCCACGCTGGACTCCTCCACCAGCACCACCGCGGCCACGCCGCCCACCACAACAACCCCCACCCCCAGCAGCAGCAGCAGCAGCAGCAGCAGCAGCAGCGGGAGCAGCAGCAGCAGCAGCAGCAGCAGCAGCGGGAGCAGCAGCAGCAGCAGCGGGTTGCGGAGCGGGCTCTCGGGCCGCGTTCGCGCGTCGTCCCCCCCCGCTGCCGCGGCGAGCAGCAGCAGCAGCGGCAGCAGCAGCAGCAGCAGCAGCGGGGCGGGGCGGCGGCGGCGGAGCAGCAGCAGCAGCAGCAGCAGCAGCAGCAGCGGCGGCCGCAGGGCCCTGCTGCTGCGCAGGGCCCAGGCCCTCAAACCCTGGCCCCCAGGGGTCTCCTGGGCCTCCAGCAGCAGCCGCTGGTTTGCTGTTGTGAGGGGCCCCTCGGGGCTGCGGCTGGCTCGGACTTTCCACCCCAGCACGAAGGGGGGAGTGGAAGCAGCATTTAAGCTCGCCTGCGACTTTGTTGCTGCTGCTAGGCGCAGCAGCAGCAGCAGCAGCAGCAGCAGCAGCAGCAGCGGCGGCGCGGCTGCGCCGGAGGGAGCTGCTGGCGAAAAACGAGCCGCGCACGATAAGTTGGCGATGCAGCAGCACCAGCAGCAGCAGCAGCAGGGCAGGCACCAGCAGCAGCAGCAGCACGGGCGCGGGGGCGCTGCTGCTGCTGCTGCTGCTGCTGCTGCAGCAGCAGCAGCAGCAGCGGGAGAGGGGGGAGAGGACAGGGACTTCCGGACTGGCGGGCTGACTCCGAACGATTTGCTGGTCACGCTGAGAGAGCTGAAGCAGTGCACCGAAGAAGAAGAAGCAGCAGCAGCAGCAGCAGCAGCAGCAGCAGCAGCAGGGGAGGAAGACGAGGCCGAAGAGACGCAGCAGCAGCTGCTGCAGCTGCAGCAGCTGAAGGCTGCTGCTGCTTCTCCGAACTGCTCGAAGGAGGCCCTGGGGGAGCTGCTGCTCTCGATGCAGCTGGACGGATTTGCTGCAGCAGAAGCAGCAGCAGCAGCAGCAGCAGCAGCAGAAGGAGCAGCAGAAGCAGCAGCAGAACTGGACTTCGAGAAGGAAATAGCAGCAGCAAAAAGAATCAAAGAAAGACTGCTGGCGGAGGAGCAGCTGCGGGCCCTTTTGCTGCCGCTGCGAGACACAATTGAAGCAAAAGAAATAAAAGAAATAAAAGAAATAAAAGAAACAAAAGAATTAAAAGAATTAAAAGAATTAAAAGAATTAAAAGAATTAAAAGATTCAACTTTTGCTGCTGATCTTCTGACAGCAATTGCTGCTAAGGAGGCGCGAGGCAGCCTGGAAATGCCCAGCAGAAGCAGCAGCAGCCGCAGCAGCATGCAGCGGGACTGCTGCAGCAGAGGCCCCAGCAAAGCTGCTGCAGGGGTGCCCGGAGCTGTTCAAGCTGCAGCAGGAAGCTGTGAAGCACTGTCTTCTGGACTTGCAGAAGCAATGCAGACTGTTATATCCTTTTGGAGTTTGGGGGGGAAAAGCAAAAGAAATAAAAGTGCATTTGGAAGCAGTTGCTGCTGCAGCAAGTTTCCGGGAAATTCGGGTGTACATACAGCTCTTCCAAAACTGCCTCTTCAGCGGACTGCTGCCAAGCAGCATGCAAAAGGAAACTCAGAAGTTATATTTTGTTGCTCTTGCTGCAGTAGCGAGCGCGCTGCGAAGCAGGAGGCGGCCAGCAGCAGCAGCAGCAGCAGCAGCAGCAGCAGCAGCGCAGCAGCAGCAGCAGAGAGAGGCGTTCAACGCCGGCTGCTGCTTTCTTTGAGCCGCGCGGCCGCGCTGCTGCAGCAGCAGCTGCGTAAAGGACTTCTAAAGAAAATGAAATTCGAAAAGAAAGTTAAAGCCAAACAGCAGCAGCAGCAGCAGCAGCAGCAGCAGCAGCAGCAGCAGCAGCAGCAGGTTGCGGCGCTGAGGTTTTGTCTGTCAATTTGGACGAGCGGCGAGCAACAAAGGCATTAAGATGAGCGAAGTTTGGAAAGTGCAAACGAAGAAGTGGAAAAGAAATAATTGAAATTAATTTTGTTTTTATTTTCTTTATTGTTTTATTTTCTTTCTCGAATCTGCACTTTTGCTGCTGCGGAGTTGCTGCCGCCGCGGTCTTTGCGAAAAGTTGAACGCGCAACGAAATGGGGGAAAGCTGGCAAGAAAAAGGACCATTAATCGATTAATTTAATTAATTTTTAAATTTAAATGTTTAATAAACCATTTAATCTTTAAATCTGCCATTTATTGTTGATTTCGGAGAAGTTAGTGGCGTTTCGGTTAATGGGTCGTGGCTGCGATCGGGGCTTTTCCACTCCGCCTTTCGGGCGGCAAAAGTGCAACGAATTGCGAAATAAATGAAGTAAAACAATAAAAAAGAATAAAAATAATAATTAGAATAATTATAATTGTGAATGTGGCGAAAAATCCGGCAAAAGCGAACCGCATGCATGCGCTCCGCGCGCGCATTTGGGGTGTACGTACACCTGGAGGTGCGCGTACACCTGAAATCGGCTGCGTTCTTTCTCTTTGTTTTTTAACGCTTTGCAGCTCCAAGTGCCGAGAGAAGTCCCAAATGCTTCGAATTTGCGCTAAATGTCTTTCTTTTCTTTAAAAATTAACTTTCTTTCTTCGAAATTAAATAAATAAATGCCTTTCGAAGCCCCGATGTGTCGGTGTGCTTTCTGCGGGGCCCCGCGAGCTGTCTGTACACCTCAGCCTCCGCTGCAGCGGGCGAAGGCTTTCTTGCTTTGTAAAGTGTCTTTACAGAGGTGGATTGGGACGGACTGCTTCAAAAGTATTTCTTTTTTCATTTATTTATTCATTTATTTGTTTCCTTTTGCACTTATTTGCGCATTCATGCAAACATTGCTTCGAGGTCACTCCATCTTGCAAACAAAGCTGGAGAACAGCTTTTTAAAGAATGCCTATTATTACCTCCGAAGCAATTGCTGCTGCTGCTGCTGCTGCTGCTGCTGCTGCAGCAGCAGAGGATTTGCTGTCTCCGAAGGAGACAGGAGCAGCAACAAGAAGCGTGTTTGGGTGTTTAATAATTTTGTTTTTAAAAAATTCTTTTTAAAATGAATTATGCAAATAAATGAATAAATAAATAATTAATTGAAGTGTCCGCGAAATGCATGCATTGCATGCATTCGTGGAGAGAGAAGCAGCCGTTCTTTTTAACTTTTCCGTTTTTTAAATTAAAAATAAATTAATTAAAATAATGGAAATAAATAAAATAAATTCAATTAAAGAAAACCGAGAATTAAAAATGGTTGTTTATGTGTTTTCGACCGCAAGTCGCCACGTGTGTCTCTTACTTTCGTGACTTTTGTGGAAGTTTTATAAAGGACTAATTAATAATAAAAATAAATACTAATTAAATAATTAAATTAAATTAAATAATTGAATTAAATTCATGCGGAGGCAAGCCCGAGGCTCGCCCTCCAGCTCCAGGTGTACGTACACCTCAGCTGTTTCAAACAGATTCTTTTCTTTCTTTCAAATCCCCGACTCAAACAGAAAAATTTGCATTTATGATTTCTGCCATTTCTGCCACTTCTGCCATTTCTGCCATTAACACTTTCATTGCTGTTACTGGCATTTTATAGGTATTTCTATTACTGGTAATTACTATTATTAGCAGCATATTTGTAGAGTATTATTATTACTATTATATATTATTACTATTATTTTCAGGGTATTATTATTATTACTATTATTATAGGAATATTAGTATTACTTTTATTATTATCAGAGTATTATTATTAGTACTAGTATTATTATTTTTGTTACTGTTAGTATTATTATTAGTGTTGTTAGCATTAGCATTGTTGGTATTGTTTTATTACTATTATTGGCATTATTCTTAATTGTTGTACTTTTATTTTTGTTGCTAGTATTATTGCTATTCTAATTATTAATTGCACTATTTATTATTGTTGCTAGTATTATTGCTATTCTAATTATTAATTGCACTATTTATTATTGTTGCTAGTATTATTACTATTCTAATTATTAATTGCACTATTTATTATTGTTGCTAGTATTATTACTATTCTAATTATTAATTGTACTATTTATTATTGTTGCTAGTATTATTGCTATTCTAATTATTAATTGTACTATTTATGTTATTAACATTTTATTATTATTACTCTTATTACTAGAATCGTTATTTGTACTGCGAACGAATTGCTGCTGTTCTTTTTATATATTATTATTATTGGTATTATTATTTATTATTTTTGGTATTTTTATTTATTATTATTATATTGCAATTATTTATTATTTAACTAATTGTTACAGTTTACTTTCATTGTTATAAATGTTATTGTTGCGTTTATTATTACCATTATTATTATTATTATTATTATTATTATTATTATTATTATTATTATTGTTATTATTATTACTGGTGTAATTATTATCTATAAGGGTATTATTATGCATATTCGCATGCATATTAATGTAAAAATTTATAAACAAGTTCTTTTGAATAAATATATTTATAAATATATTTGCATAAACGAGAACTTATTATTATTAGCATAAATGCCTTTATGCAAAAATGATTATTGGCATAAATATGCATTTATAAAATAAAAGACTATTAGCATAAATGCATCCATAAGAATAAAAACTTAGCAGAATAAAGCTATTTGTCAAAATAAAAGATTATTTGAAATAAAAGACTATTGACATAAGTGCATTTAAAAAATAAAAGATTATTATCACAAATGCATTTAAAGAAAACCTTTTTGAAAAAATGACAAAGAAGCTTTTCATGCTCCTGCTTCAGCCGCCGTCTCGAATCAAAACTTTGATTTATTTTCGGAAATAAAGTCCATTTTTTGGAAATATAATTCATTTAGCAGAGTTATAATTCATTCTTCGGAAATATATTTCATTTTATATCTCCAAAGTTCTTTTAAAAGACAAAATTTGCAAATTTCGCTTTTTTGGAGGCTTTGGGTTTTGCGGGGTGTACGTACACCTGGTTGCTGTGCGCAAAGTCGCCGCTTTTTGTGTTTTTTGTTTTTGTATTTTATTTTATTTTATTTTATTTTATTTTATTTTATTTTATTTTATTCCATTTATTTAATTTTTATTCTTTATTTCTTTTTACTTTTTTTATTTATTTTTTGTTGCTCAGACGCCAAAAACAGTGGCTCAACTCTTCTATACATATATATTTGAATAAATAACTTTCCTAGATTTTGTAATTTTTAATAATAATAATAATAAATACATATATAAATAATAAATAAATAAATAACTACATATATAGATATACAGATATATATATATCTTTTTAATAAATAAAATGCATTTCTTTATACTTTGTGCTATTTCTAAATGCTTTATTGTCTTTTTTATTAATTTAATTTAATTTTTAATTAAATTAAATTAAATTAAATTAAATTAAATTAAATTTTTATTTTTACTTATTTGTCTTTTCCCTTTATCTCCTTTTCCTGCTGCGAAGCAGCAAATTGAAGAAAGCGCAAATGCTAAACAAACTAAAAAACTAATTAACTAATTAATCAAATAATGAAAAATAAATAAATAAACAAATAATGAAAAAGAAATAATAAACAAATAAATAAATAAATAAACAACATCTCAAAAGGGTAAATAAATCGGCAAAGACAGTGTAGAGTACTTGTTTCGGCTGAACTGACTTCTCCACTTTTTATTCTTCTTTTTTGAATTTATTTATTTCTAAAGTTCCTTTATTTGCATTTAATTGCATTTAAATGCATTTAAATGCATTTAAATGCATTTAATTGCATTTAGTTGCATTTAAATGCATTTAAATCCATTTAATTGCATTAATTAAATGCAATTAAATGCATTTAATTGCATTAACTAAATGCATATAATTGCATTTAAATGCAATTAAATCCATTTAAATGCATTTAATTGCATTTAAATGCAATCAAAAGGATTTAATTCTTTTAATTTTCCCTTTTGAATTTCTTTTGGCGATGCAAAAAGAAAGAAATCCAAAAAGCTGTTTCTTCGGCGCCGAACGAAACGGCGGGGGCCGCCGCCGAGGTGTACGTACACCGCAGCTGCGCGCTGCTGCGGGGCTCCACAGCAGCAGCAGCAGCAGCAGCAGCAGCAGCAGCAGCAGCAGCGGGGAGAGGGGCTTGTTTTGGGGGCTTTGCTGCTGCAAAGGAGACAAAAAGAGACAACGGAAAGGGAGCTTCAGCAGCAGCAAGAAGCAAAGAGACACACGAGCTGTTCTTGCTGCTGTTTTGCTGCTCCCCGCCTTCCCCCCGCCTTCCTGCTGCTGCTGCTGCTGCTGCTGCTGCTGCTGCTGCAGTGCCTCCCGCTGCCGCAGCATTTGCTGCTGCTGCTGCTGCTGCAGTATTTGCTTCTGCTGCTGCTGCAGTAGCTGCCGCTGCTGTTGCTGCAGTAGCTGTTGCTGCTGCTGCAGCGTCTGCCGCTGCTGCTGCTGCTGCAGTGTCTGCTGCTGCTGCTGCTGCTGCAGTGAAGGGCTGCGGCAGCAGCAGCAACACAGTTGCGTCTGCTGCTTCTGCCTGTTTCGAATCTTTTGTTTTATTTGCATTTTTTATTTCTTTAATTTCTTTTTTATTTTTAATTTCTTTTATTTCTTTTTTATTTTTATTTTCTTCTTTTTTCCCCTTAAGGGCCTCAGCAGCAGCAAGAGAAAGCGCCAGCAGCCACAATTTATATCTTTTTCTTTTATTTATTTTTTTGGATTTTTTTCCATTTTTGATTTTATTGATTTTATTTATTTTGTTTATTTTATTTGTTTTATTTATTTTATTTGTTTTATTTGCTGTTTTGTTTGTTTTATTTGTTTTATTTATTCTATTATTTATTTTATTTATTTTATTTATTTTATTTATTTTATTTATTTTATTTATTTTGCTTATTTTATTTGTTTTGTTTATTTTATTATTAATTTTGTTTGTCTCCTTTTCTTCCATTTGCTGTGCCCGCCGCAAGAGAGAAGAAAACCACAAATAGAATGGAGACAGAAATAGCAGCAGCAAATGATGGCCAGCAGCAGCAGCAGCAGCAGCAGCAGGGGGAGCAGCAGCAGCAGCAGCTGCTGCTGCTGCTGCTGCAGGCAGCAGCGGCAGGTTATTTTCCTGTCCCCTTTCCACTGCAGCAAGAGCATTCCTCAGCAGCAAATGGGGCGCCGCAAAGTCCACCAAAGCAACAAAAGCCTTAAAAGGAGGCGCAGCAGCAGCAGCAGCAGCAGCAGCAGCAGCAGCAGCAGCAGCGCCGCCCAGCAGCAAGCGAGAGAAGGCCCAGAAGCAAAGCTGCAGCAAAAGAGACAAATCCAAATCCAACTGCTGCAGCAAACCAAACAGCTCCAGCTCGTCGTACAGAACAGCCCCACCAAATAAATTGCTGCTGCTGCTGCTGCTGTTGCTGCTGCTGCTGCTGCTGCTGTTGTTGCTGCTGCTGCTGTCGCTGCTGCTGCTGCCCTTGTGGTCAGTGCTGCTACCGCAGCTGCTGTGATAACTGTTGCTGCAGCAGCAGCTGCTGCCACCGTCGCTGCGTCTGTTGCTGCTGCTGCTGCTGCTGCTGCTGCTGCTGCGCAGCAGCAGGTCCAAGAGCGCTGCTGCTGCTGACGTTTGGGGCTGGACACGTGCTGCGTCTCTGCAGATTTGCTGCATGCAGAAAGCAACAAGAGGTTTGTCGAAAAGTAATTTAAAATTACTTTTCAGATTTGCTGCAGCAGCAAAACACCCGAACTTGTCGCAGCAGAACTCCCAGCTGTACGTACACCTCAACGCCACACACGGAGACACCCCACACCCCAAACTGCAGCTCTCATATTGCTGCTGCTGCTGCAGTGGCTGCTGCTGCTGCAGCAGTAGTTGCTGCTGCTGCTGCTGCATCATCTGCTGCTGCAGTGGCTGCTGCTGCTGCATCACCTGCTGCTGCTGCTGCATCACCTGCTGCTGCTGCTGCGTCTCCTGCTGCTGCAGCGTCTGCTGCTGCTGCTGCACGGTCTGCTGCTGCTGCACCGTCTGCTGCTGCTGCTGCATCGCCTGCTGCTGCTGGCATTCCCGGTCCGCAGCAGCAGCAGCAGCAGTTGCGGAAAGGGACTTTTGTTTGTTTTTTTTGGCTTTAATTAATTTGCTTTTTGTGACTTCTTTAGCAGCAACAGCAGCAAGCAGCGCATGCAGCAAATGGGAAGAAGGCCCTTCTTTTTGGGGATTTGCTGCTTCGAATTTGTCCCCTTTTGTCTTCTTGGAAACTCCGAAATTAAAAATAAATTTCAAATTTTGATTTTCCACTTTTTGCGCAAAGTCGCAGACGCAGCAGCTGTCCGTACACCCCAGCGCGCGCTCGGGTGTATAGGCAGCTCCGCGCGCCGCCGCTGTTTTTTCCATTTTTCGAAACTTCGAAACAAAACAAATCTTTGCAACAAAACAATTATAAATAATTATTTAATTTAATTATTTAATTTAATTATTTAATTTAATTATTTAATTCAATTATTTAATTCAATTATTTAATTCCATTTCAATTATTTCTCCTCCAGTCTTTTCATGCGGGCTTTGCTTCCAGCCGGCTGCTCGCGCCGAGCAAAAAGATGAGGCGCTCTTGAAGAGCTGCTGCTGCTGCTGCTGCGGCTGCGCACTGCTCCAGCACTCCTGGGAACACGAAGCCGCCCCTGCTGCAGCTGCTGCTGCTGCTGTTGTTGTTGCGGCAGCTGCTGTTGCTGCAGCAGCAGCTGCTGCTGCTGCAGCTGCTGCTGCACTCGGACTGAGCACTCCTGGTGGGAATATGAAATGGCTGCTGCTGCAGTTGCTGCTGCTGCTGCTGCTGCTGCTGCTGCTGCTGCTGCTGTCAACCCTGCTGGTGCTGCTCTGGCTGCTTAGCCATTTTGTTGCTGCTGCTGCCGTTGCTGCTCGCCGGGCGCACGCTGTATTGGCTGCCTGAGCCGCTGCTGCTGCTGCTGCTGCTGCTGCTGCTGCTGCTGCTGCTGCTGCTGCTGCTGCTGCTGCTGCTTTGGGTGCTGTCTTTGGGATATAAAATGCAGTTGCTTCGCTTTGCTGTCAAGACACTGGAGGGGGAGAGACTCATGAGTTTGTTTCCTTTCTCATTTTTATTTTTATTTTTATTTTTATTTTATTTTTATTTCTTTATTTCTTTATTTCTTTATTTCTTCTTTATTTGTTCATTTGTTGTTTGACTTTTGGATTTAATTCTTTTCTTTTATTTCCTTTTTATTTTTTGTGCTGCAGTGCCTGGTGGCGCTGCCGAGGCATGCTAATCCCAATACTGCCTCGGGCGGTTTACGTTCGCGTCCGCGTAGTACCGCGCCACGTTTGGCTGCGCTGTCTTCCAAACTGCCCCTCGTGAAGCGCCACCTGGAGGCCTTCGCAGTCACTATTCTCGCAGTGGTACCTAAACCCTAAACCCTAAACCCTAAACCCTAAACCCTAAACCCTAAACCCTAAACCCTAAACCCTAGGCGTTAGCCCTCGGTATATATTGTTAGGCCTAATCCCGAAAGTGTTAAATAGCACTCTGCTGCTTTAATTCAATTTTTCCGTTTGCGAAGCACAATAATAACCTGCTGCTGCTGCTGCTGCTGCTGCTGCTGCTGCTGCTGCTGCTGCTGCTGCTGGTGTCTGCATGCAGCCTTCGCAGCAGCAGCAGCAGCAGCAGTAGTGGTTGTTTGCAATAAAAGAATTTGCGAAAATATAAAATTCAGAAAAATAAAACTGAATTTTATTTTCTTTCTTTTTGCGTTTGGAGCTTCCGCGCATGCAGCGCGAGGTGTACATACACCCCAACACCCCAGCGAGCGGCGAGCTAGCTTTCCTTTCGGATTTTGGAATTTAATTCATTAATTGAAATTCTTTTCTTTTTCTTTTTCTTTTTTATTCTTTTCTTCTTCTTCTCCTCCAATTTAACCCCAGAATCGCGCCCGGGGGCCCCTCCGGCGTGCAGGAGGCAGCTCCCGAGGGTTTAGGGTTTAGGGTTTAGGGTTTAGGGTTTAGGGTTTGGGGATTGACGCTCAGGGTTTTCCGCTGGGGCTCCCATTCCAGGTTCTAGGCTCTAGGAGCTCAGAACCGAGGGGCCCTCGGTTTGCCCCGCTTCAAGGTGCTCTAGGGTTTAGGGTTTAGGGTTTAGGGTTTAGGGTTTAGGGTTTAGCAGTGGTCAGCTTAGGGTTTAGGGTTTAGGGTTTAGGGTTTAGGGTTTAGGGTTTAGGGTTTAGGGTTTGCGGTTTAGGGTTTAGGGTTTAGGGTTTAGGGTTTAGGGTTTAGGGTTTAGGGTTTAGGGTTTAGGGTTTTGTTTTAGGGTTTAGGGTTTAGGGTTTAGGGTTTAGGGTTTAGGGTTTAGGGTTTAGGGTTTAGGGTTTAGGGCAGTGGTCAGCTTAGGGTTTAGGGTTTAGGGTTTAGGGTTTAGGGTTTAGGGTTTAGGGTTTAGGGTTTGCGGTTTAGGGTTTAGGGTTTAGGGTTTAGGGTTTAGGGTTTAGGGTTTAGGGTTTAGGGTTTAGGGTTTTGTGGTTTAGGGTTTAGGGTTTAGGGTTTAGGGTTTAGGGTTTAGGGTTTAGGGTTTAGGGTTTAGGGTTTAAAATGACCTCTCGCAGCCGCCTGTTGAACGAAATAAAAGAGGCGGCGAGGCAAAGCAAAGATGGAGATGTTATTTTAATGCCGGAGTGAGTTTAAATAAGTAAATAAGTAAATAAATAAATAAATAAATAAATAAATAAATAAATAAATAAATAAATAAATAATAAATAATAAATAATAAATAAATAATAAACTATTTAATTAATTATTTAATTAATTGGTTAAGGTAAAATCATATTTTCGAATTTCGAAAAATAGAAAAAAGAAATTAATTTGGAGCAGCCCCAGAGCCTCTTTAATTGCACATCACTTTTATTTATTCAATTAATTAATTAATTATTTATTTATTTATTCACAATTATTTATTTATTTATTTATTTATTTATTTATTTATTTACGAGTATTTATTATTTATTTATTTATTTATTTATTTATTTATTTATTTATTTATTCATTTATAAAAAATTAAATATTTAATTTTCATTCAAGTTTGCCATTTCACTTCTTTGCAGTTTTTCAACTTTTTTTCTTTTAGCTGGATTTCCTTCATTTCTTTTTTCAGTATTTATTTATAACTTATAATTTATAATTTATTATTAATTAATTAATTAACAAATTAATTAATTAATTAATTAATTAATTAATTAATTAATTAATTAATTAATTTATTAATTTGTTTATTTTATTTGCAGCGAAGAAAGCATTCATGAGTGGAAGGCGCTCATTAAGGGGCCCAGGGGCTCTCCTTACGAGGTAATTTAAATAAATAAATAAATAAATAAATAAATAAATAAATAAATAAATAAATAAATAAATAAATACATAAATACATAAATACATAAATAATTAAATTAAATAATCAAATAATAAACATAAATAAATAAACAAGTAATAGTAAATGAAAATAATAGTTGTGGGAATTTAGACGGAAAGAAAATCTTTTTGTTTCATTTTCTTTTTTTGCCGTTTTTTGTAATTTTTTGTTTTTATTTTATTTTTTATTTACATTTATATTTTATATTTATATTTTATATTTATATTTTATATTTATATTTATATTTATATTTATATTTATATTTATATTTATATTTATATTTATATTTATATTTATATTTATATTTATATGTATATTTATTTTTATATTTATGTTTATATTTATATTTATATTTATATTTATATTTATATTTATATTTATATTTATATTTATATTTATATTTATATTTATATTTATATTTATACATATTTATATTTATATTGATTTTTATTTCTTATTTTTATTTTTTATTTTTATTTTTTATTTATTTCTTTTTTCGCTATTTGCAATTTAGAACCTTTTTGTTCCTTGTTGGAATTTCATGCTTTTGGAACTGTTTCTGTTTCTACTTTACTTGTCCATTTGATTTATTTATTTATTTATTTATTTATTTATTTATTTATTTATTTATTTATATAATTAATTAATTAACTATTTATTTATTTATTTATTTATTTATATAATTAATTATTTATTTATTTATTTATTTATTTATTTTATAAATTCCGCGAAATTAAAACATTCGAAATAACCAAAAGCTTCTAACTCCTCCCCCCCAACTTCCTTTCCCCTCCAACCACCTGCCATCTCTTTATTTATTAATTATTTATTTGTTTATTTATTTATTTATTATTATTTAATTATTTATTTAATTATTTATTATTTATTTATTTATTTATTTATTTATTTATTTAGGGAGGAACTTTCAACTTGGATTTGCGCTGTTCTCCTTCTTACCCTTTGTCGCCTCCGAGTGTATCTTTTGCGACGAAGTGTTTTCACCCAAATGTGGATTTTAAAGAAGGTAATTTAATTCATTTTAATTCATTTTAATTCATTTTTAATTCATTTTTAATTCTTTTTTGATCCTTTTTAGTCCCTTTTAATCCTTTTTAATCCCTTTTATTCCTTTTTATTCTTTTTCTTCTTTTTGTTTTCTTTTTTTTTTCAAAAAATGAAGTTTTCAGAACTTTGTTTTGTTTTTTTTGGACTTTTTTTCGCTTTTTGCCAAAAAACATTTTGTTATTCTTCGCAAGTTACTTTCTTTTGTTTTCTTTTTATTCTTTTTATTTCTTTTTATTCTTTTAAATTTATTTCTTTTTATTCTTTTAAATTTGTTTCTTTTTATTCTCTTAGTTCTTTTATTTCCTTTAATTCTTTTACTCGTTTTATTTCTTTTATTTCTTTTTATTTTTTAAATTCTTTCAACTTTTTCTTCTCTTTTAATTCTTTACACTACTTTTATTCTGTTAATTCTTTTTATTTTTCAGATTCCTTTAACTTCTTCTACTGTTTTAATTCTTTACATTCCTTTTACTCTTTTATTTCTTTTTATTTTTTAAATTCTTTTAACCTTTTCTACTCTTTTAATCCTTTACATTTCTTTTAATTCTTTTATTTCTTTTTATTTTTTAAACTTTTTATTTTTAAATGCTTTCAAATTCCTGGATTTTGTTTTTCCAATTTTGGTGTCTTTGTGATTTTCTCTTTGAATAATTTTATTTTCATTTTTTTCTTTTTCGATCATTTTTGCTCCTTTTTTTCCCATTTTTTTTGCAAATAGCATTAGGAGTGATGGAGGGTTTGAATCTGCGTTCAAAACCCTGATTTAGGGTTTAGATATCCTCCCTTTTGGCGCAGGAAACATCTGTTTGGACATTTTGCGGGACTCCTGGACTCCCGCCTGGTCCCTCCACTTCGTCTGCCTCGCCGTCGCGGCTCTTCTCGACTCCCCAAATGCAGAAAGCCCCCTCAACTGTGACGCAGGTAGGGTTTAGGGTTTAGGGTTTAGGGTTTAGGGTTTAGGGTTTTCAAGGGTTTTGGAGGGGTTTTAAGGGGGTTTAGAGGGGGGTTTAGGAGGGTTTGAAGGGAGTTTTAGAGAGGGGCGTAAAGTGGGGTTTAAACTAGGGTTTTAGGGGGCAGGGGGCTCAACTGCGACGCAGGTAAGGTTTAGGGTTTAGGGTTTAGGGTTTAGGGTTTAGGGTTTGGGGTTTTTGAGGGTTTTTGAGGGGTTTCAGAGGAAGGGTTTAGAGGGGTTTGAAGGGGGTTTTAAAGAGGGTTTTAAAGGGGGGGGTTGGGAGACAAAATTGCGGTGCAGGTAGGGTTTAGGGTTTAGGGTTTGTGGTTTAGGGTTTAGGGTTTTGAAGGGTTTTTGAGGGTTTCAGAGGGGTTTCAAGAAGGGTTTAGAAGAGGGTTTTGGGGGGCTTTGAAGGGAGTTTAAAGAGGGGTTTAAATGGGGGTTTTAAATTATTATTTTAATTAATTTATTATTTATTTATTTATTTATTTATTTATTTATATATTTATTTATTTATTTAGTTATTTATTTATTTATTTATTTATTTTTATTTGAAGGCAATTTGATTCGCCAAGGGGACATGAGGGGCTTCAGGTCGATGGCCCGAATGTACACACACGAATATGCCATGGGCAGCAAATAGCAGCAGCAGCAGCAGCAGCAGCAGCAGCAGCAGCAAGAGCAGCAGCAGCAGCAAGAGCAGCAGCTGCAGCAGCAAGAGCAGCAGCTGGAGCAGCAGCAGCAGCTGGGGCAAGAGCAGCAGCTGCAGCAGGATGAGCTGCCTGAAAAGCAGCAACAGCTACAGCAGCTGCAGCAGCAGCAGCAGCAGCACCAGGATGGGCAAGGGAAGCTGCTGCAGCAGCAGCAGCAGCTGCAGCAGCAGGATGAGCTGCAAGAAATGCAGCAGCAGCTACAGCTGCAGCGGCTGCTGCTGCAGCAGCAGGATGAGCTGCAAGAAAGCTAGCAGCAGCTACAACAGCAGCTGCACTCAGCAGCAGCAGCTGCTGCCGCAGCAACGGCAGCAGCAGGTGCAGCAACAGCTGCAGCAGCTGCAGCAGCTGCTGCAGCGGAATCGAAGAGCTGCTGCTCAGTTTTGCTGCGCTGGAACCGCAACAATCTAAAATCATTTTTGCATTTTTATTTTTTAATTTAATTCTCATTTTTCGTTTTTATTTTTTTTTTCTTTTTGCTCCAGAAGAATGTTTTAGAAGTCAAAAGATATTAAGTCAGCAGCAGCAGAGGCAGCAGCAGCAGCAATGGTAGCAGCAGGAGCAGTAGTAGCAGCAGCAGCAGCAATAATCGAAGCAGCAGCAGCAATAATTGCTGCAGCAGCAGCAATAGTAGCAGCAGCAGCGGCAATGATCGTAGCAGCAGCAGCAATAATCGCAGCAGCAGCAGCAATAATTGCTGCTGCTGCAGCAGCAATAGTAGCAGCAGCAGCGGCAATGATCGTAGCAGCAGCAGCAATAATCGCAGCAGCAGCAGCAATAATTGCTGCAGCAGCAGCAATAGTAGCAGCAGCAGCGGCAATGATCGTAGCAGCAGCAGCAATAATCGCAGCAGCAGCAGCAATAATTGCTGCAGCAGCAGCAATAGTAGCAGCAGCAGCGGCAATGATCGTAGCAGCAGCAGCAATAGTAGTAGCAGCAGAGGCAAGAACAGCAATAATGGCAGCAGCAGCAGCAGCAGCAATAGTAGCAGCAACAGCAGCAATAAGAGTAGCAGCAGCAGCAGGAGCAGCAGCAGCTGCAGGAGCTGCAGCAACATCAGCAGCAAGAGCAGCAGCAGGAGCAGCTGCAACAGTAGCAGCAACAGGAAGAACCGCAGCAGCAACGGAACAGGAGCAGCAGCAGCAACAGCTGCAGCAGCAGCGGCAGCAGCAGCAACAGCAGCTTCAACAACAGCAGCTGCAGCAACAACAGCAGCAGCAATAGCCGCAGCGGCAGCAGCAGGGACAGCAGCTTCAGCAACAGCAGCTGCAGCAACAACAGCAGCAGCATTAGCCGCAGCAGCAGCAGCAGCAGCAGCAGCAGCATTAGCCGCAGCAGCAGCAGCAGCAGCAGCAGCAGCAGCAACAATGAACACATAGAAATTAAGCAGCAATGCTTTTTGGTTCATTTGTCATTATTTGTAATTTTAATTATTTGCATTTCTTGTTTATTTATTATTCATTTATTTAAATTATTTATTTTTTATTTGTTTATTTATTTGTTTGCTGTTTATTCTTTTTGTTCACTTTTTTGTTTAGTTTTGCCTACATAACCAAACGAGGGTTTAGGGTTTAGGGTTTAGGGTTTAGGGTTTAGGGTTTAGGGTTTAGAGGCGGCTACTAAAGCCCAAATCATTTTCAATTTTAATTTTTGTTTTAATTTCCGTAAAAACAAAAAACAATAAAAGGCACCGAAAGGATAAACAGCAAATAACCTGCTGCTGCTGCTGCTGCATGCAGCAGCAGCAGCAGCAGCAGCGAAAGCAGCAGCTGATGCTCCGTAACTCTTCTTGAACCGCGGAATAAAGCGAGAAAATAAAAGAATTATTAATTTAATTTAATTTAATTTAATTTTAATTCTTTTATTTTATTTTATTTCCTCTTTTTGCTTCGCTTTCCGTTTGCAGCTCTGCTGCTGAGGTGTATGTACACCCCGCGCTCCCGCCGCCGTCCCAGCCGCCGGAAAGCCAGCGGCGAATGCAGCAGCAAATTGGCGTTTTGAATAAATAAATGAATTAAAAATAATAAATAATTAAATATTTAGATAAATAATACCAATAAACGGCCCTAAACCCCAAACCCTAAACCCTAAACCCTAAACCCTAAACCCTAAACCCTAAACCCTTGGCCAGCAGCAGCAACTCGAAACACAGATTCTTCTGCCTGGACGCCTCATGGCTCTCCCTCGTGCAGTTGCCCTTGCATGCAACTTCCTCGTTCAAAAGCCTACAGCAGCAGCAGCAGCAGCAGCAGCAGCAGCAGCAAGAAGAGCAGCAGCGACTGCAGCAAGACCGACAGCAGCAACAACAGCAGCGAGATCGGCAGCTTTCAGCAGCAGCAACACATGCAGTAGCCAGGCTGCCCGCTGCGCGCAGCAGCAGCAAGAACAGCAGCAGCAGCAGCAAGAACAGCAGCAGCAGCAGCAGCAAGATCAGCAGCAGCAGCAGCAGCAGCAGCAGCCCACAGTGGAGCAGCTGCTGCAGGCCGTGCAGCTGTACCGAGCCATACAGCGGCAGCACCGGCGGCTGCTGCTGCCGCTGTCTGCTGCTGCAGTTCGTTTTGCAAACAAATTTGCTGCTGCTGAATTCAGGGCAAACGCAGCAGCAGCAGCAGCAGCCATCCGCAGCAGCAGCAGCAGCAGCAGCAGCAGCGCCTCAGCGGGGGGCGAGCAGCAGCAAGCAGCAGCAGCAGCAGCAGCACAACTGCCCCCATCAAGCGCCACACAGGAACACCACCACCATCAGCAGCAGCAGCAGCAGCAGCAGCAGCAGCAGCAGCAGCAGCACTCTTTTGCTTCTTTTGGGGTTTTTTTGAAAGAGTGGCGCAGCTATTTAGCAGCAGCAGAAGCAGCAGCAGCAGCACGCGGGCTGTCTAGACAGCTGAAGCCCTCGCTGCTGCAGCAGCTGACGCAGCAGCAGCGGGAAAGTTTGGGACTTTTGAAAAAAGCAATTTTGCAAAATAAACAAAAACCTTAATTCTTTTTAATTTATTTTTATTTAATTATTTATTTTAATTAAATCAAATTTATTTATTTATTTATTTATTTATCTTTTGCTGCTGTCTGTGCTGCAGCAGCTGAAGTCCAGTCCTTTGTTGCTTCTTCTTAGCTTGCCAGGTTATTTGCTTTGCTGCTGCTGCTGCTGCTGCTGCTGCTGCTGCTGCTCGTGCTGCTGTTGCTGCTAGTGCTGCTGCTGCTGCTAGTGCTGTTGCTGCTGCTGTTGCTGCTGCTGCTGCTATTCCTATTGCTGCGAGTACTGTGGCTGCTTCTAGCGCTGCTGCTTCTAGTGCTGCTGCTGCTGCAGCAGCAGCTGCTGCAGCTGCAGCAGCAGCAGCAGCTGCTGCTAAAGAGGCAAGCAAGGAAACAGAACAAATAAAGGGAATAAAAGAACAAAATAAATAAATAAATAAATAAAATTAATTAAAATAATTAAAATAATTTAAAATAAATTTCTTTTTAATCTGCCGGGCCCAAATAAGTTATTTTGACAGTCGGCCTGCAGCGCACACGAGGTGTACGTACAGCTGAAATCAGCGGGCACGAAACAACAATTTGGTAATTCAAAGCAGCAGCAGCAGCAGCAGCAGCAGCTGCTGCTGCAGCAGCAGCGGGAGGGCGCGGAGCGTCCCGTGCATCACTGAAAGTCCCAACAACAGCAACAGCAGCAGTATCAGCAGCAGCAGCAACAGCAGCAGCAGCAGCAGCAACAGCAGCACCACGATCATTACCATCAGCAGCAGCAGCTGCAGCAGCAGCAGCACCACCACCAGCAGCAGCACCACCCCCAAAACCAGCAACAGCAGCAGCAGCAGCAGCAGCAGCAGCAGCACAGCAGCAGCACCACCCCCAAAACCAGCAACAGCAGCAGCAGCAGCAGCAGCAGCAGCAGCAGCAGCAGCAGCAGCAGCAGCACCTGAAGAGTCCCTGCGTGTCTGCTTGGATTTGAACTTTGATTTTGGAAAAAACAGAAATTAAATTTTCTTTAAATTTTAATTCTCCTTTTTTTCCGTCAAACTCCAAACCCCCGGGAGATGTAAATATCACTCCTGCAATAAAATAAATAATTTAATTTAATTTAATTTAATGAAATAATAATTAATTTAATTAATTTAATTAAATTAAACAAAATAAATAATTTATTTAATTTAATTAATTCAATTAAATGCAATAAATAATTAATTTAATTAATTTAATTAGTTTAATTAAACAAAATAGATAATTTATTTAATTTAATTAATTCAATTAAATGAAATAAATAATTTAGATAATTTAATTAGTTTAATGAAATGAAATGAATAATTAATTTAATTGATTTAATTAAATGAAATAAATAATTTAATCAATTCAAATAATTTAATTAAATAAAATAAAAAATTAATTTGATTAATTAAATTGATTAAATTAATTAAGTTAATTGAATGAATTAAATTGGACTCATCAAATTAAATTGGATTCATTAAATTAAATCGAATTAAAACAGATAAATACAAATCAACTAATTGGATTTATTAATTAAACTGAATTTATTAAAATAACTTGAATTAAATCAATTAAATTTAATTAATTGAAATAAATTGAATTAACCAAAATAAATAAATGCAATATGATAAATAAATAAATATGGAAAGAAAATAAATAAAATAAATACATAAATATAAATATAACAAATAAACAGATACAAATATATAAACAAATAAATAATAAACACACAAATAAACAAAGAAGCCAAACAATTAACAAACAAATAAAACAAACAAATAAATAATAAATAATGCAAATTAAAATAAAATAAAGTAAAATAAAAAAACAGAAATGCAAATAAAAGTGAAAGGCATTTAATGGCAAACAAATCAATTAAATCAAACGAAATTAAATGAAATTCAACTAATCAATTGAATTAAATAAAGTAAAATAAATTGAATTAATTATCAATTAAACCGAACCAACTTAAATTAATTAATCAAATAAAATAAAATCCAATCCAACCAAATCAATTAAACCAAACCAAATTAATTAAACAAAACAATCAAATCAAATCAATTAAATAAATAAACCTAAGTAAGTAAAACAAATTGAATTAAATAATGAATCAAATTAAATAAAACCAACTAAGTAAAATAAAATGAAACAAACAAAAGAACAAAACAAATTAAAAATAAAACAAACAAATAAAACACATTAAACAAATAAAACAAACAAACAAATAAAAAAACAAATAAATAAACAAACAAATAAACAAAATAAACAAACAAACAAACAAATAAATAAATAAATAAATAAATAAAATAAATAAATAAAAACAAATAACAGAGTTTACCCTCGAGGCCAAACTCGGGTACGTACACCCGAGCGCCGTTGCGGCTAACTTTAGTGACGAGGGCTTTCGTCACTTTTTCTTTTTTGTTCAAAAAATATAAAAAAATAAAATAATTTACGGAGTCTCGCGAGGCTTGCTGCGCCTGCCGCTGCCGCAAATTCAGCAAGTCCACCTGCGCAGAAAGCTGCAGCAGCAGCAGCAGCAGCAGCAAAGCAGCAGCAGCAGCAGCAGCAGCAGCAGCAGCAAAGCAGCAGCAGCAGCAGCAGCAGGGGCGGAACAAACGGGCGTTTGCG